ACAATATGTTGGTTGATTCTACAATAAAAATATAACCAATCATATTTTAATGATTGTTGATTTTACAACTAAAAGTGTATGATTAACAATGTATATTGGTTGGTTAAATAAGAGACTATACCTAATTAACAATATGTTGGTTGACTCTACAATACAAATTAATATAACCAATCATATAATGATTGTTGATTTCACAATAGAAACTGTATGATTAACAATGTATATTGGTTGGTTAAATAAGAGACTATACCTAATTAACAATATGTTGGTTGACTCTACAATACAAATTAATATAACCAATCATATAATGATTGTTGATTTCACAATAGAAACTGTATGATTAACAATGTATATTGGTTGGTTAAATAAGAGACTATACCTAATTAACAATATGTTGGTTGACTCTACAATACAAATTAATATAACCAATCATATAATGATTGTTGATTTCACAATAGAAACTGTATGATTAACAATGTATATTGGTTGGTTAAATAAGAGACTATACCTAATTAACAATATGTTGGTTGACTCTACAATACAAATTAATATAACCAATCATATAATGATTGTTGATTTCACAATAGAAACTGTATGATTAACAATGTATATTGGTTGGTTAAATAAGAGACTATACCTAATTAACAATATGTTGGTTGACTCTACAATACAAATTAATATAACCAATCATATAATGATTGTTGATTTCACAATAGAAACTGTATGATTAACAATGTATATTGGTTGGTTAAATAAGAGACTATACCTAATTAACAATATGTTGGTTGACTCTACAATACAAATTAATATAACCAATCATATAATGATTGTTGATTTCACAATAGAAACTGTATGATTAACAATGTATATTGGTTGGTTAAATAAGAGACTATACCTAATTAACAATATGTTGGTTGACTCTACAATACAAATTAATATAACCAATCATATAATGATTGTTGATTTCACAATAGAAACTGTATGATTAACAATGTATATTGGTTGGTTAAATAAGAGACTATACCTAATTAACAATATGTTGGTTGACTCTACAATACAAATTAATATAACCAATCATATAATGATTGTTGATTTCACAATAGAAACTGTATGATTAACAATGTATATTGGTTGGTTAAATAAGAGACTATACCTAATTAACAATATGTTGGTTGACTCTACAATACAAATTAATATAACCAATCATATAATGATTGTTGATTTCACAATAGAAACTGTATGATTAACAATGTATATTGGTTAGGTAAACAAGACTGTTTGAAAAACAATAAAAATCATCAAATTGATAACAAAATCTTGTTGGCTCAATATTAACAAGATTATTGTCAATTTAACATACTTTTTTATTATTATGATTGTGGTTTTTCTTTCGGTGTGCGCGTGAAATGATGTTAATATTTAGCTCAATATACTTATGTGAACAGACATTTTCAAAAATGAAATACGTCAAATCTAAGTACAGAACTAACTTAAGTGACGAACATTTACAAGCTACGCTGCTAATTGGAAGCACGAAGTTTGATGCGAACTATCAAGACATTTTAAAAAACAAGCAGTTCCAAACGTCTCACTAAGTAACTTCCTCATATCATAATAAAACAAATTTTGAATTACAAAATAAAAAAACCGGGCCAAAATTAGAAATTTCAAAATGCATCTAGAATGATAATTGTTGATAGTTTATCTAATAGAGTTAATATTAAAGCAATTACGTAATATTTTACGTTGTTACCAGTATTAATTGTATTGCAATAATACTCCACAGTATGGCATTACAGATGCGATGCGTACGTCGGTATTATTCTGTACAAAAAGTTTTGTTAGAACATAGCTGATATTTTTTGTTGTATAGTTATTTTTACGAAAAAAAAAAATGAACTCGTTACCTGGAGGTATGTATATAGTATTTAAGTTTAATAAAATATAAAATCAATTTATCTTTATATTTTTATATACAATTTTAATAAAAAATACAAGAATTAAAATAAAATATACAAACACAAAATTCATCATTAATTTTAGTAAACTTCCGAGATAGCCCGAGTCCATACAATCTTATCTTTTTTTAGTGTATGTTATGCAGTTTCAAAAAAATTAAAAAACAATTGCGCATACTTGCGCGCTTTATTGTGTAAATTACTTTTGATTCACATACATGTGATTAAACGTATTAAAATTGTTTTTATTCAAACTACACTTGGTATTTTTATACTAATGTTATAATATTATAATATTTTAGGATCTGGTGATAATCATATGTCTTTAAGTCGGAGAACATTATTTCATATAATGCAAGAAATTAATGCTAAACATTTTAATGCACGATTTGACCATTTAAAGAAACGTTTAGTTACATTAACAGAATGTCCAGAAAATTCCTTAAATAAATTATTATCATACTTCATTAGTGAGTTTAAATCTAAATGGCAATCATCACAGAGAAAAAAGAACATATTTCTATCAAAAAATAAAATCTGGTTAGACACTGAAATACATTTTCCTTCAAAGATTTCAACTCAGTCGGGCAAATCTATGATATGATAGTAGTGATCGATCAAAAAGAAGAAAAACGGAACAATTACGTACCCAATATAGTCCAACTATGCTTTCATATGCTGCTCAAATGTCTCTAAGAAAATCTGGAAATGTAGATAGTGCTTACGTTATAAAAAATATTACATGTACAACACCTACAAGAGCTTCAAAGTACAAAAAATCTTATAAAGACAGTAAAAATAAAATTAAGGTTATTTCTAATGACGAAGCTCTTTCTTTGCTTATTGAGGCTCAGTTGACAAAGCATCAGTACAATTTAATTAGGACACAGGCAAAAAAACATGGTTGTAATATTTATCCTGCATATCATCTTTTAAGATACGCAAAAAATGAATGTTATCCTGATAAATCTTGTTTGCAAATAACAGAAAGTTGTGCTGAAGTGAAATTACAAGCATTATTAGATATAACTACTCAAAGAATTTTAAAATCACAGGGCCAGGGTAGTATTATTGATTCAGAGAGTGATAAATATTTTGAAAAATTATATTTAATTTCCAAATGGGGTTGTGATGGTAGTTCTCAACAAAGTGAATACAAACAAGTTTTTAATAGTGAATGCGACTCGGACTCGAGTATATTTTTTACATCTGTTGTACCTTTGCAATTAGTTAGTGGAGATATAGATGGCCCCAATAAGATAATACTATGGCAAAATCCCCGTCCTTCATCACCCAGATATTGTCGACCAATTAAAATTCAATTTATACATGAGACCGTAGACATAACTTTACAAGAAAAGGTGTGTATAGAAAATCAAATAGAAAAACTTCAACCATCTATTTTTCATTTTAACGATACTGAAATCATGGTGAAACATATTTTGATGTTTACTATGATTGATGGTAAAGTGTGTAACTCAGTCACTTCAACTAAGTCTGCAATGAAGTGTTATATATGTGGAAGTACATCTAAAGATTTTAATAAAATTGAAAAAATGATAGATATAAAAACAAATGATTTAAATTTAAAGTTTGGGCTTTCAATTTTGCATGCGTGGATACGATTTTTTGAGTGTTTGTTACATTTGTCATACAAAATTGGTATCAAAAAGTGGCAAGCGCGTGGAGATGAAGAGAAAAGAAAAGTTTTGGAAAATAAGAAAAGGATTCAAGAAGATTTTAAATCTAAATTAGGACTACTGGTTGATATTCCTAAATGTGGTTATGGAACTTCAAATGACGGAAACACAGCGAGGCGATTTTTCGAAAATACAGAAATGTCGTCATCTATTACTGGAGTAGATATTGAAATAATTAATCGTTTTAAAATAGTATTACTAACAATATCTAGTGGATACAAAATAGATTTGAAAAAGTTTAATAATTTCTGTATATTAACTGCACAAAAATTTGTCGACAAGTATCCATGGTATAACATGCCAACATCTGTTCACAAAATATTAATTCATGGAACTCAAATAATTGAGGCACTGTCAATATTACCAATTGGTCAATTTTCGGAAGAGTCACAAGAAGCTAGAAATAAGGATATAAAAAAATATAGAGAAGGATTTTCAAAAAAATGTTCTAGAATTAAAAATTTAGAGGATGTTTTTAATAGACTTTTAGTAAGTTCCGATCCATTAATTTCCAGTCTAAGGCAACTACCTCAAAAAAAAATTAAACATATTCACCCAGAAGTATTGGAAATGATTTTGCCTCCAGACATCAACATAAAAACCATAAAAACAAAAGGAACAGAGTCAGATATTAGTAGTGAAAATGAAGTTTCCATGTCGTCGAGTGAATAAATTCAACAGAAACGTGACTTAAAATTTAATTTTTATGATATCTGTAAAATAATATTATTCTATTAAAATACGAGTAACATGATATAAATAATTAAATAAAGTTAAAGGACCATAACACTCAAAAAAATAAGTCTATTTTAAAATATAGTATTAAGTGAAATAAAAACAGAGATACCATTAAAATATATTTACAACTATTATTTAGCCTGCGGCAGTCATTTGAAAAATACGTGTGACGTCATAATTTCGCAGCCGCCGATTACTATGTATACGATTTTACGGGAGTAATACAACTTTCGCTGTTTAATCTCTTATAAGTCGGCTAATACTCAATTTTTTGATGTAGACCTTTATAATAATTTAAAGTTCACAAATTTTTCTTTTATTGCATGTTTTTTACAATAATAAGTTCATCATATGATTCAATTAAAAATTAAACAAACATTTATTTATACGACTGTAGACTATTTTAGGACTGTNGGGTATTTAACTATTATCAAACTTAAATGAAAGAATCTGTGATCATCTATGTTCGTCTCTAATTGGGTTTTTATGATATTTCAATTTTTAAGTGAATTATGTGCATTTTATAATATTCATATTTTACATAGGTACTCATATTCACTTCAAAATTAAAATATCGTAAAAACCCAACGAGAGAACACAGATATTATTCTTATATTTAAAATTGGAATTGCAGGAAGTAAATTTTGATATATTATGCATTGGTAAGAGACAACACATGTGGGTATGACATACTCTTAATACTCATAGTCTACAGCTGCTTGGTAGATGATTTAGTATAAGCTATTATGTTGAATATTATATTTAATGTGTATTAATGATTATTTCTTGGTTTGTCGATTTTCATAGTCAATTTTACATACCTCTTTAGGGTCATTATCCAACACATTCTTGGGTGATATATTTTCATCTGCATCAATGATTTGATTTTCTTTAATCTGTATTGAATCGTCAAATGTAGACAAACGAGCCATAATATATTAACGCAGGTCAAATATATAAATTAGTTAACTACTGCTCAGTACTTTTACGATCTTTAGTTAAGTATAATATATTAATATGAACCAATGAAACATTAATTAAGCATAGACTAGCTGATGGTGACCATGACAAAATATTTTATGAAGATAATATGATAATGGGTTATCAGAAATCTTTTGCAACCAAAATGGCGGATGCACATACCTGCTATTATAGTGCTCTACTAATACATTATTAGTGTTTATTATTATAATAATTATTATGATATAATTATCATAAAACAATGATAATACGCTAATACGCATGGCTGAAAAAACTTAATGCCAATTGTCCTCCATGATATGCCCAAACCCATAGTTCTTTCTCTCTCACTCTATCTCGTCCCCATGAAATGTAGGCAGGGTGGTGTGGTAAGCGCTGTCCATTAGTTAATAGGTCTATGGTATAGACCTAGTATAATTGTACAAAACTAAGTTGGCTACACTGTTATATGGTATACCAATATGTTATCAGTTCAACAAAATTTAAAGATTTTATGATTTTTTAAATGTTCTGGTTATCACTTTTCATAATATTCTTAACAAAACGGATAAGCATAATACAATCGAATTTTATTTTTGTTCCTCAAATTTTTTATTATTTATTGTTCTTGGCTACAATAATAGGTAAGTAATATTGTTGTCTTTTATTTAGTACTCACACATTTACAAATAAAAATGTTTTAATTTAAATTTGTAATGTGGCCATTGAGGAAACTATTTTGTGTTTAAAATCCACCTATGGCCACTAGATGGCCATAGGTGGATTTTCATAATTCCTTCTATGGCCATATACATTTAAAAATGAGCAAATCTTATAATTATTAGTAATAGAACCTAAATCTATTTCTTTAGCTTAAATGGCACCTCATACAAAAAATAAACCAGTTGCCAAGAGATTTAAGTACTCGCCAAATAAAATAAAATTAGCTTTATCTGCAATGAAAGAAGGTAAAATACACTGATCTTTATACTTTTAGTGCTGGATAGATAAAACAAATACAAAATTATGTTTTTAAACAGGTATGAGCTCTTTAAAAGCAAGTCAAATGTACAGTATTCCATGGACAACTTTAAGAAACAAATTTTCTGGTAAATCTCCTGAGGTGTCACTAGGTCACAGTGGTACATTGTCAATTTTGGGTAATGAGAATGAACAATTATTAGTAGAGTGGGTACTTGCTTCCTCAAAAATGGGCTTCCCTGTGGATAGAGAAGGATTATTATCTTCAGTAAAAAAACTTGTTGATGAATTGAACTTAAAGACACCATTTACTAACAATAGACCTGGGAGAAAATGGTTTTACAGTTTTATGCAACGCCACAAAATTCTGTCCCAAAAACATGCCGAATATGTTAATCGTGCAAGAGGGTCTGTAACTGAAGAGAAAATAAGGAACTGGTTCACCGAAGTATATGGTTTATTAGGAGATGATGCAATTATATTAAAAGAACCAAAAAGAATATTTAATTTAGATGAGACATGTTTTAATTTAGCCCCTAAAGGTGAGTTAATTCTTGGGGAACGAGGGAAAAATGTATACGATGAACATTCTAATTCTAATAAAGAGAATATTACAACTCTTTTCGCAACAAATGCTTTGGGAACTTGGGCACCTCCTCTTACATTATACAAATATGAGAGAATACCAGCTATCATCGCTAGGTCTGCGCCACCAAATTGGGGAATAGGTAAATCAGAGAATGGATGGATGACATCGGAAACCTTTTTTGAGTATATGTCAAATATTTTTCTACCATTTCTTATTGAAAATAATATTGAAAGACCAGTCATTGTATTTTTAGATGGACATAAATCACACCTCAGCTTGTATCTTAGTAAATTCTGTCTTGAAAATAAGATTATACTGGTCGCTTTATATCCTAACTCTACCCATATAATACAACCTCTTGATGTGGCAGTATTTGGTCCACTAAAGAGCAAATGGAAAAGAATTGTTAAGCAGTGGCGGATTGAAAATGATAAAGAAATTTCCAAATTTGATATACCCTTAGCTTTGTCTGGCATTATTAACAATCCAGAAATGAAAACAAACGTTGAATCCGGATTTAGAGCAACTGGTTTGTACCCATTTGACTCCAATAATGTTGATTATTCTAAAATAATTGTCCGGACAAATCAATTGAAACAGATTGATTTAAATGTTGAAAATCTAATGTCCCATTTAGTTTTTATAGAAAACAAAATATTTAAAATTGATGTAGATCTATTAGGTAAATTTAAAAGAGCTGAAAGAGGAGGTTATGCATGGGATGGAAACGAGGAAGCTGTATTATTATTCAAATTGTGGCTAGAAGTTAAAAATGATATAAAGAACTATGATCACGTTAGTACTTCTACACCTGTTTCATCACCACCTATTGATTATCAACTGAGCCCAACAAATTATAATGGACCAACTCATGATAGACCAACTACTTCCAATCAAACATCAGAACAAACAAATTTAACATTATATGAGGATTCACTTTCTAATGAGAATGCACTACCAAACAATGGCATGAGTCAAAACACGTCATCAATCACATCTGAATCTCAGCAGTCTGTAAGATCAGAACCAAGTAGTATTATAATGTCAGCCAAAAGATCTCTACAAAACGTTTTTGATGACATAATTAAGTGGCCAGTACAAAAAGAAACTACATCAAAAAGAAAAAAAGAATATACACCAAGTGTAATAACATCTAAAAAATGGATAGAATATTATGAGTTAAAAGATCAAGAAAAATTAGATAAAGAGATACAAAAAGAAAACAAAAAAAAAGCTGCGCAGGAAAAAAAGAAGAAAATTGAGCAAAATAAAATAGAAAAAGTAAAATTAAAAGAATTAAAAAAGATAGAGTTGGCTGAATCAGATGAAAGTTCAGAATTAAATGATAGTTGGTGTTCTAGTCAAAGCGATGCTAGTGAGTCACTTGCCATTCCATTGGGACAATTGGATTTGGTTTTAAGTATTACAGACCTTAAACCTGGTGATTATATTCTAGTTAAATTTGAATCTAAAAACAAAAAAAAGATCACCTACAAGTATGTTGCAACAGTTCAAAAATTAATTGAAGATACAGATGTTGAGATACAGTGTTTTGAGGCTGTGGACGAAGAAAATACTGAATATATTCCAATAGAAAATGATATATCTATGGTTGAGTTAAAAGATATTATAGGAAAACTACCTTACCCTGAACTTAAGAAAAGTGGTAGACAACTTAAGTCAGTATTTCCTGGAGTTGTTGATACATTTGAAAAATGTTAAAGGTATTTAAATAGGTACTGCGTATGAAATATTATGTTTTTATTCCTACTGAATTTGTTATTTATTTTTTACTTGTTTGAATATTATTATGTTATATTATCTACCATGTCTAAACATTTAATTTTTTATACTGAAGATGTTTAGCTAAGTATATTCTATTTTAATTGAAAAACTATATTTTATATTTAATTGTTTTTATTATGAAATCAAAATCAAAAGTTACAAGTTGTTCAATATTAAGTTTGTCATTGTTTTTTATATAAGTATCTATGTATATACTAACAGAAATCCTAAGACTGGATAAAAATATTAATAGACTGTTTATGAATTAATTTTATTATGATTTTATTGTTACTGAGTTTGTAATTTTTTTTCTTTATTACCTATATTATATTTTATAGGTATGTACCTACCTACTACCTACCTAATTGTTAATAATGAAAGTTTGTATTTTTTTTTAATTGAAAAGTGACAATTAGTATACCTACCTAAATTGTATTATTTATACTATGAAATCTTTAACAAAAGTTTGGTTTAAGTTGTTCAGTATAAATTTTGTTATAGTTTTTATAAAGGTTTACCTTTATATTAGGTATATACCTAACAACATTTTTTTTTTTATTGTTATATTAAAACAGTTGTTCTCTTACTTATTGACTTTAATTTTATTCAAAGATTTTTTAATAACCAGAATAATTACAGATATTATTAAAACAAATTTAAAAAATATAAAAAATGGCCATAGGTGGAGAAAATTGGTGTCCATAGCTGGTGTAATGGTGGCCATAGAAGGTGAAAATGAAATTTTAAAAAAATAAAAATTATATCTGTATAAGTATTTCTCATAAGGCTACAAAATTTTAACCAAGTGTTAAGTCAGTTGTAAAGTATGCATGGTTAAATTTTCAATATAATTAGATAAATATGAGCAAAATAACAGAGATAAATGTGTGAAAAAATTCTTAAGGTGGCCATAGGTGGTGACTCCACCCTACTACTTCAAATAAGGTATGTGTAATATCATTTGATTTGCAACAATGCCTTCCAACCCCAAGTCTAGAATCGTCTGTCGCATTCTATAAACGTCAATTATGGACCTTTAATTTAACAGTTCATAATATTAAGACCTCAAAAGCTTCATGTTATGTTTGGAATGAGTCGATGGCAAAAAGAGGAGGAAATGATATAGGGTCATGCGTGTTTCATTTTTTATCTAACTTACCACCAGAAATCAAACATGTCATAATGTACAGTGATTGTTGTCCTGGACAAAACAAAAATTCTATATTTATGGCAATGTGTCTAATATTTTTGTAACAAGAAAATACATATATTGAGGTAATTGACCACAAATTTATGGTATCTGGGCACTCCCGAATGGAGTGTGACTCCGATCACGCTCGCATTGAGAAATCAAAAAAACGATTTTCTACCCCAATTTTTCATCCACATGACTGGGCCCAGTTAATTCGATTTGCAGGTAAAGATAAATTTACTGTTATAGAGATAGAACAACCATATTTTTTAGACTTTAACAGTTTACTAAAAACTAAATACCAGTTAAAAAAAAAAAAATGACAAAGGAGAAACATTCAAATTTTGTGACATCAAATGGTTAAGATATACAAAACAAGACAAAAATAAAGTATTCTACAAAAATATACTAAGTGAAAATTCTTTATTTAACAGTATAAGTATGTCCCGTAGAAATTCACTTCAAAATAATATATCTATTCCAAAAGCATATAATGACATCTTACCTATCACTGAAGAAAAGAAAAAGGATCTACTTTCTCTTTTAAAATTTATTCCTGAAACTTTTCATAGTTTTTATCAAAATTTAAAAACTAAACAAAATATAAATGACCCTATAGTGTCAGATGAAGAAAATGATTAATTTTTTTATGTTCATTTTATTTTATATCATTAATTTCTTTATAACTACAGTCTACAAGTGCATTTTTATGTATGTTCCTGAGATTGTTAAATTGTTATTTGATTAGTAGTTTACTTAAACAATTATTATATTTCTACATTATTTTTAATTTCTAATAATTTTTTAAAAATAATTTTTAAAAAAAAACTTTATTTGTTATGTTTATAGGAGTTATTATTTTCTGTTTAAAGGTTATAGTTGTTCAAAAGTTTTTTAAATAATGATTTATATTGTATATTAATAGTTAAATATAGCTTACAGAGTTATATATATTTTTATCATATTGTCATATTACAAATCTATTTGTTTTCTAATCAGTTAAAAAATGTATAACACTTATACATAATATTTTGTTTTTAATTATGTTTTTATATTAATAAATATTATTTTAAGTATATTGCAAGTGTTTAATAAATAAACCATTGATATCTTAAAACATTTATAATTATTATAATATGTTCTTTTATTTATTGTTAAGGGAATAAGTATTTTATAATTTATGTTTTTTGTGCTGCCTGCCAATTAATTATTTTTATAAATGGCATGGAGTTGTAAAAATGGTTTATGTTGTGAAAAAATATTATAAAATATTAATATTATATTTATGACATGTGCCCTTTATCACAAAAATTTTGATTTTATTTGTGTGCGATTAGATACAAGTCAATATATGAGAAAAGGCACAAGTCATGCAATTGTTAAATTCGATATGATAATAGTCACAAGTCATTAAAAATAATAAAACAATAAATTAAAAATATTTATATTGATTTTAAAAAATCTATTAACAAATAAACTGTATTAATTAAAAAAAAATTAATAATTATAAGCAAAACCCTTTTGAATTATACATTTTTTGTCTCCTGAAAACTAGGGAATTTTGACTTATGCCCTTTCTCACAAACACCGTCCATGTGTAAGTTGGGGCAAGGTGGTGGTCCATGTTTAGTGATGGGAGCTTGGTAAATTTTACCGGTAAGGTAAATTTACGTAAATTTTACCGATATTTTATTTAATAGGTAAATATTTTTTACCGTTCTAAAAATCGAGTGACCACTTATTTCAAATGTTTTTATGTGAACATTAACACTAGTAACATTTCTATAACAAAATTAGTCTAACATGCATCTATACCTAGATGTTTGTACCAATGTTTAATTTGAATTATATAAGTATAATAAAATAGAGTTGGCTTGATTATATTAAGTTGCCTACGTAATGTTTCTTTTTTATATAAAATTGGTAATGAATTTGTAATTTTTTTTTTTAAAGAAATGGTTGAACGAAAAAAGAAAATTGGAGCAAGACCATACAAAACATATGATGAAGAAACACTTCAAAGGGCAGTACTTTTTGTAAAATCTCATCAAATGACTGAACGTCAAGCAGCTAAAGATTTTGGCATTTCGAAATCTACAATACACCGCAAACGACATGATCAAAATGTATTACCAGTTGGGAGACCCTGTGTTTTGAACTATGATGAAGAACAGGATTTAGTTAAAGGACTTATAGTAGCTAGTAAATGGGGATTTCCATTAACCTCACATGACATTTCTCTAGTTGTAAAATCATATTTTGACGCTGATGGACGTGTAGAGACTAGATTCAAAGACAATATACCAGGTCCTGATTGGATCAGAGCATTCTTGTCTAGATATAAAAATAACTTAACAGTCCGTTTATCTGAAAATGTTAAACGAGCAAGAGTTGCTGTTTGTTATGATACTTTAGAACAGTATTTTAATGAACTTGAAAAAAACACTTGAGGGAGTCAATCCAGAACTTCTAATTAATTATGATGAAACTAACACGACCGACGATCCAGGTCGGAAAAAAGTTATTGTGCGTCGTGGTGTTAAACATGCTGAGTGCATCAAAGACACATCAAAATCCAGCACATCAGTTATGTTCAGTGGAACAGCTTCAGGTGTAGTACTACCAATATATGTTGTATATAAAGCAGATCACCTTTACGATTCATGGACTTTAGATGGACCAAAAGGAACGAGCTTTAACCGTTCTAAAAGTGGTTGGTTCGATACAACAATATTTGAAGACTGGTTTTTGTTTGTAGTTATTCCATATTTTAGGAGATTTAAAGACCAAAAGAAAGTTATGATTGATAACCTTGCTAGTCATATATCTCATTTGTTTTATTGCCTCCCAATAGTACACATTTATGTCAACCATTGGATGTATCTTTTTTCAGACCATTAAAGTATAAATGGAAACAACAACTTGATGTATGGAAAGATAACAACAAAGGTGTATTACAAAAAAAATCAGTTCCCTAGGCTACTAAATAAAGTTATGAAAGAATTAGGAGATAATGCTGGAAATAATTTAAAAGCAGGATTTGAAGCATGTGGAATAGTACCATTCGACCCTTAAAAAGTATTGAAACGTATCCCTCAGAGAACAACTAGTAGTGGAAATTCTTGGTTAGAATCTTTTGACGAACATTTAGAAAATAAACGTTCAAATGAAACCAGTGTAAGAATAAAAAAAAAAAGATTGTCAGTGCCACCAGGTGGCAGGTAGAAGTGTGGCAGAATTAGTTGAAACAAATGTAGAACATGAAGATATAGATGGTGATATTGAAGTAACTTTTGACTGTGACAACATAATTCAACCTGATAGTGATACATAAAATGTTGGTGAACAAAATAACCCTATTCTAATCATATTTCCTCCTGATGACCAATTACAAAGTTCTAGTGGAACACAAGCTATAAATTCAGAAAAAGAAGACAATATTGAAAATATAATTTTGAGTTTGAAAGTAACTGATTTTATTCAAGTAAAATATCTTAATGACAAAAATACTAAAAATCTACCTTTAAACATTTTTTGTGCCAAACAAAAGCAATAACAAAAAGTATTAAAGGATTAATTTTTATAACCAGTTTTATGAGAGGATATAAAGGATCTAAAAGTACATTTGCTTATCCAGACGTTGAAGATATAATAGAAGTTACAGCTGAAAATATTGTCAAGAAGTTACAAATTATTCATGAAAAGAGAGGAAAGTACATGTTCAACACATTGTTACCATAAAGTTAAGACTGATTATTGTTATTCTCATTGTTAAAATATGTTAATTAATATTATAATTTAAAATAAGTACCTATTCTGATTTAATAATGGACTAATATAATCTAAGTCACAACTTATTACCTGCATACCTAGGTTCCTAGTTTGTTATAATAATATAATATTGTTTAGTTTTCAACTATAAAAATATAATTTATGTGAAATATATAAATCTATAATTTAATTGTATTTTTTTTTTAAATTTATTCCTTATTTTCTAATTAGTGTACATAGTCTTAAAAACAAATGCAAAATGGTTTTCTTATGAAAAAAATGCAAGGAATCTCTAAAAGAATGTATTTTTTTGCCCCCAGTTAGTCTTAACGAAGAAAACTTGATTTTTATATGAAAATCATATGTCTGCCCCAAGTTAAACTTTTATGGTACTACTTGGGGCATGCAAAAATATTTAAAATAAAATATGAAGGACTTTAAGAAAAAATTTAACCTAATAATATTTTTATGAAACAAGGTAAGACCCAAATTTTTGTTACCACATGTAATTGCCAAACTTAGACAGTTTTTAAGTTATTTACAATAACAATTTTAAAGTTCCCCAAGTAACACCAATTGATTATTGATTATTATTAACTAATTATCACCAAATTAAATACTAAATGTTATCAAATGCTAAACATTTTTTTCAAATTTTTGGAGGGAAATCTTAATACGATAAATAAGATATTATTTTGTTTCCAAGGTAAACTCTACTAGCGCAGCAAGTGACAATTGTTTTAACTAAAACCAAACGAACAAATTATGTCAAGAGTAAGTTGGGCATCTAGCTAGAAATTCGTTGGTCCAAAGTGGTGTACCGATATATTTGTACCGGTTTACTAATACATGCTACCGATTATTTTACACCAGGTTCGATATTTAGATGAAATTTTTATGATGAAAATCGGTATATCCCCACTACTCTGACATAATTAATAGTGATAGTATAATCAATTAAATATTATCTTTCCCATTTTACATATTATAATATTCCGTTAAATATTAACAAATTCCAAAATTCTGCATTTCTGCTTCAAAATGAATCAAGTAGTAATGACAAATTCATTTAAAATTAAACTTTTTAAAGAGTTCATTTTGAACAAAAATCGCACAAGTGCTTGTATAAAAAATGGATTACCTTCGCTTTTTATGCGTACAAATTGTCTAACAGGTAAGTAACTATTAATATCATTAAATCAAATTGTTTGTCTATATTATGTAATTTTTTTCTGCAAAATATAGGCTCCAGTTTGTTTTTTCTATGAGACTTTCAACCCAGTAACTAATAAAATAATTGTGTAGTAAAATTGTGAACAATTTTTATTAGGTATGTTATGGGACTAATATTTATGTCTTAACTATACTATACATTTATATGGCTGTGATCAGTCAAAATAACTTACCCAATTTCTGAAATTAAAAATATAGGTTTTCATTAAAAAATGAAAGCTCATCTGATGGGTACTAACCATGAAGGTAAAAAACAAATGTAATGTTAAATCTCTTAATACTAAAATACTATTAAATTTGTATGTAAACAATTTTTTCAAAAAACGATTATTGTGTGTTTTATAAATAACCCTATTTATAAAACACCCTATTTATGAAGATTAAATGGATCATAAATATTGTGTTTGTAGATATTGTAAGCTTGAGCCAAGATGATGATGAAGAATTATTTCTCAATAACGAAAGGCATCATAGAAGTAAAATTTTCAACTTTGTTGAAGTAACCGTGTATAATATGTCTGACTGGGATTTCAAAATACATTTTAGACTTACAAGAAGAAGTATTGAGGTACCCACATAATAATTTCTTATGCTCAAACTTACTTATTTATTGTAGCTTATACCTATTTTTCATTGTAGACTTTGATTTTACATATGGGTCCTTTATTATCTCAATCTGATGTAAAATTAGACATAAAAAAACAATTATTGATCTTCATATGGTACATGGCTAACTGTGAAACCCATCGGTAAGTGGGTACTAATTGCTATAGGATTGGTACTTATAGTTAATTAATATAATTACTCATTCAAGCTATTATTACTAACATTTTATAATTTTTAGACAAATAGGAAACAGATTTAATATTGCTGACAGTACCAGCCATAAAGTAGTGCTAAATTGTTTAAATAATATGAAAGAACTATCTGGTAAATTTATAAGATGGCCTAGAGGACAAGAAGCCATCATCACTGTGCAAAAATTCAACTGTCTTAGACCAAATGCTTTCCCTGGAGTATTGGGGGCAGTCGACGGTTGTCATATTTCTATACTTGCCCCTTGGGAAAAAAGGACTGTTATGGAAAAACTTGATAGGAATATGTTTTACAATAGAAAACAAGTCCCTTCAGTTCTGCTACAGGTTGTAGTGTACACGAGTTATTATATTTAAAAGTAAACATTTTTTTTCATACTTAAAATTATTTTTAGGGCATAGTGGATTCCGATCTGAAGTTCATTGATGTGTTTTCGGGTTGGCCCGGATCATCTCACGACGCAAGAGTGTTCAGAAGAAGTCTAATAGGACAAAAACTTTTGAGTAATGATTTAAGTATTTTACCAGAAAATTGTCATATTCTGGGTGATGGAGCTTACCCACTATCAGAGAATGTTATGATCCCTTACAGGGACAATGGGAATTTAACCTTAGCCCATAAACATTTCAATCGGTGCCTGAGTAGTTCTCGTGTTGTAGTTGAACAAGCATTTGGGAAACTCTACTGTAGATTTAGAAAGTTGAAGTATGTATTATATTTATAAATCATATGAATTTAATTTTACGCAAAACTAAAAATTAAACGTTTTTAACATTATATTGTATTATGTTTTAGACATATGGATGTATACCACAAATCACTATGTGGTTTGATAATCACTGCAGCTTGTTGCTTACATAACATATGTATCGATATGCAAGACGATTTTGATGCTGACCCTTATACTCCAGAGTTAGATTCTGAAGAGAACTCTCTTGCGGCGTCAAGACTTGGAGCTAGAAAACGTGATGAACTTTGCAATATGTTATCATTAAATGTTGATTGATAAAATAACCTACAATATTATATTATACTTATGTGTTTTAAATTACTTTTTATATTTTAAAAAAATATGAAATATAACCATAACTACATATTATCAAGTAGTCTCTATTTTTGTCTGGGTGCTTAGATCTTTAAAACTAAAACACTCCACCCTACTTTACAGCAGAGCGAGTTCCCGATTATTTTTAATTAAAATTAATTATTTTTAAATTGTATACCTATATACATACTATGCCGTTACCATTGTAACTACACATACACCAAAAAAAAAAA